AGAGGAAGGAGAGAGAGGAGAGAGAGAGACGAGAGACGAGAGAGAGAGAGGAGACAGAGAGACAGAGAGACAGACAGAAGACAGACAGAGAGAGAGAGAGAGAGAGAGAGAGAGAGGAGAGAGAGGAGAGAGAGGAGAGAGAGAGAGAGAGAGAGAGAGAGAGAGAGAGAGTGAGTGAGAGATAGTCCTACATACATACATATATTATATGCTATGTATATTCATATGAATTTATATAACATACACACACATACTCACACACCACAACACTCACACACACCACACACCACACACCACACTATATATATATATATAATAGATATATATATTATATATATATATATATATATATTATATATATATATATATTTACATACATATATACGTATGTATATATATGCAATTTATTCATTTATTTACACCACATATATGTGGTGCGCGCGCGACTATCGATCCATCTCTATATTACCCCCCCCTATATTATGTTTATATACTGATATATATATATATAATATATATATTATATATATTATATATGTGTGTGTGTGTTGTGTGTGTGTGTGTGTGTGTGTGTGTGTGTGTGTGTGTGTGTGTGTGTGTGTGTGTGTGTGTGTGTGTGTGTGTGTGTGTGTGTGTGTGTGTGTGTGCGTGTGTGTGTGTGTGTGTGTGTGTGTGTGTGCGTGTGTGTGTGTGTGTGTGTGTGTGTGTGTGTGTGTGCAGATAGATAGATACATATGTATGAATGTATATATAACGAGAAGCTAAAGGCCGTATTACACTTGCACTTTGACGCTGGTCCATGAAAACCGCGGCCATTTTAACTCATCAAGATGTTCGTAGTCCCTGCACAGGCTCTGGCGATGATGGATGCTATTCTGGCTATGAGGCGACGATTTAATGCGAAACACCGAATGTATAATACTAAATAACACCGTTTTCTCGCTGTTCTCATCTTGTCAGCTGACGGGGGAACGTGGTCACAGATGTAAACAAACAGGCGAGCAGCTAGTTACCAATTTGTATCTGTAATTATTAAATACAAGAGAGAATTTTGACAATTTTTGAATGTTATTTACAATTTAGACTGTCTTTTTTATCGTTTTATAATACAAATATATTTTTTTGCATTACTAAAACGGTTATCTATTATAGCTTATGATTTGAACAAAGAGTCCAACGGAAAATTTGAAAGCGAAAACGATAATTATCGTTTGACTGGAAATTCTCGCATTCGGCCAATATGCCATCGTTAGCGAGAAAAAAAAAAAAAAAAACACAGAAACGTGAAAAAAAAAACACGGAAATAGTGTTAATGTGACTCCCTTAAACAAAATAAGTTAGTAGGTTAGGCACCATCGAGCTTCGAACCTAGAACCCGTGAAAACCATTCATTAAATAAATATGAGTAGCTTGCCATCGCGATCTTCATAAGGTGGATGGCGGTGGCTTGAATTTATTCCTCTTGTGAATGTGTGCCGAAGATGCATCGGTCATAGCAAAGTACGCCGAATTCAATCCAATTTCTATTATATAAAATTCGGTGGTATATTACAATGGGTTCTTGGTTTCTGCGATCATAAATATAAGAAAATTACCATGGAATATTCTCTTTTACTAATATTAATTAGATTCTTCGGCAAATTAAATTCTCTCGCCCACGTTTTCCTAATCTTATTCATCTTTCCGTTTTCTACCGTCAGTTAAAATTTTGTCATATCTCTTTGGGTTAAAACATTCTTTAAATTGATCAAACTTGGATGTAAAGCAAACGGGATAATTTTGAATATTTTCAACTGACCAAGATGCCAAAAAAATAAGATTATATTTACTACAACCACAGAGCATGCCTGTCCTTGGACAATAAAGTAATCAATCCCTCCCTTCTATTTACATTGTTTTTCTCTTTATTATATGACTTGCATGCTATTGTAACACGTTCAGTCTATTCCTCGACGCTCTGGGAACTGTCATGTTAGACCAATTCCGGCACCATTTTTACAGACCAAAACTGAATGAATAAATGAAAGATGGAATAATGCACTACCGCATTGACATGAAGAATAAATAACTTTCTTTCTCTCCTCGAACCTAAGTCATTGCAGGCAGGGAACTTCAAAACAGACCCTTTTTTACCAACTGAACTACACGACCCACTGCAAGGAGTGTCTATCTATCTATCTTCCATAAATATTACTTATTTACTCATACTCGAACACGGATAGAGTTTACACACCCCGTGGGTACTCAGTTAGAAATTGATAAAGCAGAAGTAGTGAGTTTATTTATGAGAGCTGGCAATAATGCACTACCGCAATTGACATGAAGAATAAATAACTTTCTTTCTTCTCGAACCGAAGTCATTGAAGGCAGGGAACTTCAAAACAGACCCTTTTTACCATCTGAACTACACGACCCACTAAGAGGAGTGTGTATCTATCTATCTTCCATAAACATTTACTATATTTACTCATACTCGAGCACGGTACGCAAAGCTGTTTTACACAACTCCCCCTGACGTAGACTCAGTAGTAGAATTGATAAAGCAGAAGTAGTGAGGATTATTATGATAGCTGGATTAATGCTGACTATCGCATTGCATAGATGAATAAATAACCAGGACTCGAACCTAAGTCAATGCAGGCAAGTAAACTGTTTCTTAGGAGAGGGTATGTTATTATTCGATCGAGTGAATAAATATTTCTCACGGACAATAGGCGGGCGATGAAAAATATGCGTTGGTGGTGTCTAACATTTCCCCAAAAACCGATTATATAGGATGAGAGATCGGTGCCGTATGAGAAGGACGCATTTAAATGTTTTTTAAACGATTTAAATTTAAATGTCGAATTAATATCGATCTCGACATGCATAAGAATGTACGTATGTATATACATGAATATAGATATATTCCACACGAGTTCCCTCTAAAAAGGTTTGTAATATCACAGCCAATAATATTTTTGTGTGTTTGTGTATGTTGAGAGAGAGAGAGAGGGAGTGTGTGTGTGTGTTGTGCTATCGTGTACATGTATGTATGTGTGTGTGCTCTTGCATGTTATCTGTGTATGCGTGTCTGAATTGTGTATGCATGTGTGTGTGTGTGCATGTGTATTGCATGTTCGCGTCGTTGTGCATTTTCTCATGTCGCGTCTCGAGACGCAGTGTCGCTCTTTATTGCAGTAATAGATAAATTAATAAGTTGCTGTACGATACAGGACAGTAACCTCTTTTCCAAAAACCGACCTAACATTTTTTTTAATCAATACAAATAAACCTTCGCTGAAAAACCAGCGCGTTCCCCCTTGTTATACCGATATTTAACAAAAAATTCCCGGATTACGGTAATAGCGCTAATATCTATACACAATGCAATCAAACCGAAATCCCCGATTACCATATACAGTCAGATTTCAACTTTCAATTAAGTAGACTTTTTTCTCTCTTTTTTTATACCTATTTCCACCGGACCGGAAGATTCTAAACTTTACAGACCCTTCTTTTTTAAGTAATTCTCCGTCAGATAAATGTAGAGTCAGTGCATATATATTGAACAGAACTCACCTTATATATTTTTCAGCTTCAATTCTGTTTTCCCTTAGATTCACATCACTTTTTAAAGGCAAAAGTCCCGTTGAATTACGGTCTTATTCTCTTTGTCTATTTTTTTCACTACTATTCATCCATCTATTTTTTATTATTTTGGCTTAAACTTTATCCGACCGGCGTTCTCTATATCGCTATCTATTCATCTATACCTATCTATCTACCTCAGTCTCTCATTTCTCTCTCTTCTCCTTCTCTCTTCTCTCTCTCTCTCTCTCCTCTCTTCTCTCTCCTCACCTCCACTCACTCACTCACTCACTCACTCACTCACTCACTCTCTCTCTCTCTCTCTCTCTCTCTCTCTCTCTCTCTCTCTCTCTCTCTCTCCCTCAGTCCCTCTCTCGCCCACCCACTTTATCTCCTTCTCCCTCCCCATCCATCTAATCCTACCATTCCCTCATCCCCCCCTTTTATCACCGCCTCTCTTCACACCCTCTCTCCTTCGATCCCCGACCCGTCTCAAGAAACAAGATTTAAACACGTTTCCTCTTCCTCGAGAATGATCACTCGCCTCATAAACGCCATGGCCACTTTAGCCCTTCGTCATTATCCTTCTCTTCGGAGTGATTTGTCTCTTTCTTTTTCTTTCCGTTTTCTTTTCTTCTTTTTGTACTTTTTCTGAGGAAGACGAGGTGTTGTGAGCTGGTGACTCTTTTGCTTTTACTTCGGTGTATGATGATGCGTGTATAATATATATATAATATATATATATATATATATATATATATATATATATACTATATATATATATATATATATATATAATGTATGTGTGTGTGCACACACACACACACACACACACAACACACACACACACGTGTGCGTGTGTGTGGTGTGTGTGTTTTATTTTTTATTTTTTTTTTGTGTGTGTGTGTGTTGCGTGTGCATGTGCACGTATGCATATACGTATGTAAGTATGTTTTTCTCTCTCATAAGGATAAACTCACTTTCAGATAAATAGATTGGCATGTAAACAGGCAGCCATGCAGTTAAGCGTATAACTCAACACTCAGATACATTATAGATCAGCAAACAGCTTTAATGACTGCAATATTACCTAGGAAGAAGTCCAGACATCGCATTTTCATATTTGCTCTAATGCTCGATATAAAATTCCCTTTTCAGAGAATGATACATGGTATTCTAATTATGAATGAATATTGTTGTAGAAAGCATTTGCTATGACGTATGTGTTGTAGGATCTATTGTCTCTTGTGATAAGAAGACAGTTGACAGTCATCAAGCGCACAGGATGTTAATATTTAACTACAAGAATCAAACTATCAATAGAATTAAT